AATCAGCATCGTCGACTACCTATAGTCCATTCGGTTTCGTTGAAAAAGCGATTTATCAGTTGGGGTACTTCCCTCGTAAGATATTTAGTTTTGGAGCCTTCGTCACTCTAAAAGCTACGCAGGTTTCTAAATGCTTCTCTTGATTATCAGTCGTCTTCGAGTCACTCTGTGAGTTGTAGTACTTCCAGGATGCACACAATGCGTACGGTTGATACTTTAGTGCTTAAATTTGGGAAAAACGAATATTATTTGAAAGAAGTAGAATTTGTGCACGACAACATATGTATATAAACGCATCGTTTTTAAAGTTTTTAAGCTTTTTTCTACTTACAATTGGGTGGAAGTATATAGTGGATAAGATATCCACCAATTAAAGGATCGAAAAGAGCTAATAAATCTAAAGATTAATTAAGCTATCCATAATTAGCCTAATCAGCATAGCGGTTATACTCAACTCAGAATCACAACACGTCGCGTCGTGATTGAGCAAATGTATTTACATGGACCACGATTCCTTCCGAACACGAAGAAACGCGTCATATGATTGTTTATCGGTGATACAAGGTTTCTAAAAAAAACACGGTCACTCGTAATGTCTAGGTTCTCGTGGTTTTAAACAACCACGATCCACCAAACTTTTATAAGTGAAAAAATACTCATCAGTGGTCAATCCTATGTTCAAATAAGAATTCTTTTAGGTTCATACCAATGATCCAACGGCACATGCCGAAATTGTAGCTATTCGTTCAGCTTGTTCCGAGTTGAAAACGTATCACCTTGATGGTTGTGTGATTTACTGTAGTTGTGAACCTAGTCCAATGTGTTTGGGGTATGTGGTCTTGAGCTGCGCAAAGGAATTATTTATTTTTCTATTCTACTTAGAGCTATTTATTGGGCACATCTTGATCAAATATTTTTTGCTAACAGCAAACATAATGCAGCGGTAAGATGACACTTGAAAAATATTATAAAATAAAAAAAACACTAGATAGTGCCCTACTTCAGCGTTGACACGCTTCCCATTGTAAAAGAGCAAAAACATCGTGGACAAAAAACGTCACATATCCGTTGACAATGTTTTTTCATTTCGTCAAGGAGTGTGGTTTCGATGACCGTTTTATTTATGAAGAATTGGCACGGGAATTACACGAACGAAAAGTGCGCGTGACGCAATTATTAAAGACCGAAGGGAAAAAACCATTTACAATGTGGGTATCATCAGCAATAAAAACTCATTACTAGATTTTCACTCTTAACTTTTCTTGTTTTTTAAAGTTTATCTATAACAATAAAGTAATGATTCAATTAGTTATGTACTATTAGTAAAACTGAGAAAGTATTGAGTTACTCGCTGCATAAACTTAAATTTTTTGCAATGTATTCTCAGATATGCTACGCTCACAAACTCAGCTAGCCCTTGATTTCTAAACTTTCTCTAATCAATTAATGTTCAATGTTTCAACTGTTTTGAACATTCAACGATCCAGTTTTAGACCTTTCGTATGTAGCTCGCCAAATCTCGGTTGCTTTTGACATTGTGAAAGAACGTAATCATTTGAAAACACTGAACTTCACCGATATGGATCCGAAAAAGCGAACAAATTGTAAAGGGAGAAGTTAAAAGCGCATGAGGCACCTCTTGTGCCACTATTTGACCAAGATTATTTTTGTTGAATAGGCCTTGGAATAATTAAAGCCTAATGGGTATACGACTTGTCCAAGCGTGACGCCGTGACATTTTTGACACAGTAATTTGAGCTTTTCTCAAGAAGTGTAACAGCTAGAAACTTGGTTCTTGCGCCATTCGATGCACCTCAACATACTCTACTTTTGGTATAACAATGAGGGTATATGGTTAAAGACTCGAACTTTTAGAACCGTTTTTCGGCGTGTGACGCTATGACAAAAAAAGGCCCTAAATTCGAAGGTCTTCTCATTAAAAGCTAATTTGCTGCGAATTTAGAAGAGCTAATAAAAAGCGTCTCAAGCAAAGTTTTTAGAGGAGTAAACGAGCTACTGATTGCTAAAAAAGAATCTTTCCAAAGAGCTTTCCGTCCCTCAATAATTGTGTTTTATTGTCGTGACGCTGTGACACACGTTTTTCCCAACAAAGTTTGGAGCACTAAACATTGCTTGCAATTTCATTTTCACATCGGACTTAGTTTTAGGCATTTAATATAGACTAACATGAATATAAAGCTGGAAAAATGTTTTCACTTTCTTAGAATTGTGTGAGAATCTTAAAACTTAAAACTTAATTAAAAAGCTTGTTTTGAGTCTAAACTTCAAAAGAAACATACCATCTTATAGAGAATCGAATTGTCTGTCGATTGGTGTGGCCTTCCATTTTTATTTGGAAAAGTGTCTAGATGAGGAAATTAAAAATACAGTTTTCAAAAAAATGTAAAACTGGATTTTATGCCCCTTTCAGTTCTACTGTAAAATAACTTTTTCAAAAACTTGATCAGCGAAGTCTCGAGTTACGTGAACAAGCGTTATAGTTTTCATGTATTTGTCGAAAGTACAAAATTTGTAGACCATTTGCTCACTATAAAAAGAAATTATCTGCAAAATGAGAAAGATATTCAACGTGTTTCAACTCGTACAGCAAAAAGTCGAAAGGCAGATAATGAAGATGCAGCTAAACTTGTTGCATGATGAGCATCGAAGGCTCCAAAATATTGTCATTCCTTACCTCAAATAGTTGAAACACAGAGTACATAGCCTACACTTCTTTCTCAAAAATGGATTCTCTATTCTAGCCGTTCAATATGTCGTTAACGTGGGGCGTATTTAATTGTTTTACAAGGTATAAAACCACATTTATCTAATATTGCATTCAAGGTTATATCATCATGGTTTTGTCTGTGATGCGTCAGCATTGTAGATTTAAGGATGTTAGAAATGTGTTCAAGAGTAACATGTGAATAAGTCGTAGTTTCATATGAACAACATGATCGTTTAAACAATTATCAATCTAAAAATGTTTTAACACATTAGCAAAGATCTTTAGTCGATGTACTGGAATGGAGGTGGAAGGTATTTATTCTTTAACGGTATTGAAAACTGCTGTAAATAATGACCTTATTTAAAAGTTAATTTTGTTTCAGACGGTTGTGGAGATTTCAAAGTATATCTAATTGATGTAAAGATGTTCAAGAAAGGAATGTTTTTCTTAAGTTTATCTACATAGCGAACCACAACTACTATTTGAACAAAACGTACCTAACGTCTCTATTTGACAATTGCAAATGTGTCATTCAGTTGACGATGAAAGAGACGACCGTTGTATACAATAATGTTTTTCTTTTTGTCGCCTTCCAAATTAGCACGTTCCTTTTTCCATAACTCATATGTGAATTTGGCGATATCTTCATAAACAAATATGCTTGAATTTACTTGGCGTAAAATGTATAAAGAACGAAGAATAGACGAACGAAATGGACGAGAAAAAAATCTTGCTATAAACGCCCTTGTTTTGCTATTTTGATATTGACCGACTCGATGCGAATTTTCAGTATCTTCTACCGACATTTCAACCCCCAATGTATTAAAAATAAAATCAGCTAGTTTGGACGTTGTATCTTCATTTTTCTCTTCCGGAAATCCCATAAGTTGTAAGCAAAATGTCCGTGAATACCATTCTTGGTCTTCAACCCGAACTTGCAGTTTTTCCATCAATTGCTGCTGATCATTCAATTTGATAGAAATAATGTCTAATTTCTCTTGAAATTTTGTCGCCATATTTTCATACATCGTATCCACGATCTTCGCCGCATTCAGAACAATATCACCGTCGTTATCATCCAAGATGTTGCGTACTTCGTTTTGAGTTGTCTGGTCTGTTTGAAGCACAGACACAAACATATTTCGGGCATGAGCCGGTGCCAGAGTCAAACGACCTGAATCTGAACGTTTTGAACCCATGAATAATCAAATTGTTGAATAAATGAATAAGTTATGAATTAGATTTTAAATTTAAGTTGTGGTATAACGTTCTTCTTTTAGTATAAAAACATACGTCCGTTCGTTAGATAAAGTAGGGGAGAGTCTTCTAATGTATCCTCTTTATTATTTGTCTTTGTGTGTAGAACCACATTTTTCTCGTTATAATGCATACATTGCTGTTCGTAAAGAGAATCAATAATATTATGTGAAACGAATGAATGAATTGTTTCCAAGAAAATGGTTCAACAGCTTTATATGTTGCTTCTATATACGGTCATAAAGGATCATCAATTATTTTACATAATAGTAGGCAAGCTAGATGTTTTCTAATAGACTATTAATCTATACAGATGAAAATGTACTATAGTTTAGTGGAACGGATGGTTCAAGGGGAAATATATTCCTTCACCAAAAAGTGAAAGCTACCGAAAAGAAACGTTAGTAACGCTATCAAATATCATCGACATATAAAAATAGATATCCTTAGTAGTCTAAACTTCAAACATAATTATTCATGTGACCAAGAAAAATCCCGTATGTAGAATTGTATGTTAGTTATCGAGTTAAGCACTATGATACGCAAATATTGTCTTATATTCATCACTTCCTTTAAATTGTTGAAAATATTCTTCTGGCTGACGTAGCACAGTGGGCAACCAGGCGGACATAAAACGAAACTGTTATTTTTCCAAGTTTAAGCACTGGTATAATTACTTCTGTTTTTGATCTATCTTGTCCTGAAATAGCATTTTTAAAAATCAAGTTGAACGTTGGAAAAACACATACTAAGAAATTTGTTCAAAAATCGCTATCCTCAGATAAAGGTAATTTTTTGGCCAACTTATTCGAATAGTTTAATTTGAAAAACTATCTGAAAAGAATTATTCATCTATAAACTCCATTTTAATGAAAAGATCGTTTACATTGAACTCAAACTGCTACAGAAAAAAAAATCTACTAGGCTAAAATTGAGTATCAGAAATGCATCATTCTGTATTTTGTAAACGCTACAAACAGCTAAAGTCCAATCAAGCTCAACCTTTCCCCAAATACTCCTCTATGTGTGCTCTACCATTGACCATAGCGCCAAGTAGCGCCAATGATTC